GGTAATTCCACGTATGGGCTTACCTTTACCTGAAGTAGAAATAACGCAGACAGTCTTCTCCAGCATGTTGTTAAGGTGCACTACTGGGACTTTATCTACAGTATGTAGAAGGTTTGACTGGGCAGGGCCAGCCTGGTTGATAGAGCCTCTAATATTGAATAACCAGATGGCTTTTACTAAATGTGCATCCCAGTTTTTAAAAGTTCTGCCTCCCATTGCTCTCAGTATTGTCTTTAGTAGCCCACTGTACTGCTCAGTTTTCCCAGATACTGCTGCATGATAGGGAATGTGATATACCCACTCCATGCCATGTTCCTTGGCCCAGGTGTTTATGAGATTATTACGAAAACGAGTACCATTATCTGATTCAATTCTATCTGGGGTGCCATGCCGACACAGGACTTGTTTTTCAAGGCCCAGAATAGTGTTCCGGGCAGTGGCATGGGGCATGGCCTATGTTTCCAGCCATCCGGTAGTTGCTTCTACCATTGTGAGCACATAACATTTGCCATGCCGAGTTTGTGGGAGTGTGATGTAATCAATCTGCCAGGCCTCCCTATATCTATACTTTAACCATCGCCCTCCATACCAAAGAGGTTTTAACCACTTGGCCTGCCTGATCACAGCACATGTCTCACATTCATGGGTAACCTGTGCAATAGTGTCTGTGGTTAAATCCATGCCTCAGTCACGAGCCCAGGTGTATGTTGTATCCCTTGATGGCCTGAGGAGTCATTGGCCCAGCAAACCATAGATTTTTCACCCTTATTTTTCCAGTCCAGATCTATTTGAGCCACCTTAATTTTTGCAGCTTGGTCCACCTAATGTTTTTTTTAATGTTCTTCCATCACTCGATTTTTGGGTACATGAGTGTCTTCGTGACGTACTTTCACAACCAAGTTCTCTATTTGAACAGCAATATCTTGCCACAAATCAGCAGCCCAGATGGGTTTGCCTCTATGTTGCCAGCCACTCTGTTTCCACTGCCGCAACCACCCCCACAGGGAATTTGCCACCATCCATGAATCAGTGTAGAGGTAAAGGACTGGCCATTTTTCTTGATCGGCGATACTTAAGGCCAGCTGGATGGCTTTCACCTCTGCAAATTGACTGGATTCACCTTCTCCTTCAGCAGCTTCTGCAACTCGTCATGTGGGGCTCCACACAGAAGCCTTCCACTTCCGATGTTTCCCTACAATGCGGCAGGACCCGTTGGTGAATAAGGCATATCGCTTCTCATCATCTGGTAGTTCATTATATGGTGGTGCCTCCTCAGCTCGGGTCACCTCTTCCTCTGGTGACATTCCAAAATCTTTGTTCTCTGGCCAATTTGTGATCACTTCCAATATTCCTGGGCGGTTGGCGTTCCATATTCGAGCCCGCTGTGTGATGAGCACGACCCAAATACTCCATGTAGCATCAGTTGCATGATGTGTTGAGGGGACCCTCCCTTTGAACATCCAGCCCAGTACTGGCAGTTGGGGTGCCAAGAGGAGCTGTGCTCCTGTACCAATTACTTCTGAAACAGCTCGAACCCCTTTGTATGCTGCCAATATCTCTTTTCCTGTTCGAGTATAATGGGCTTCAGATCCTCTATATCCTCGACTCCAGAATCCCAGGGGTCGACCCCGGGTCTCCCCTGGTGCCCTCTGCCAAAGACTCCAGGTAGGGCCATTCTCCCCGGCCGCAGTGTAGAGCACATTTTTAACATCATGTCCTCCCCAAACTGGCCCAAGGGCTACGGCATGAACTATTTCCTGTTTAATTTGTTCAAAAGCTTGTTGTTACTCAGGGCCCCTTAAAAAACTATTTTTCTTCTGGGTCACTTGATAGAGAGAGATTATGATCTGACTGTAATTTGGAATATGCATTCTCCAGAAACCCATCACACCTAAGAAGGCTTGCACTTCCTTTCTGCTAGTTAGTGCGGACATAGCTGTTATTTTATTAATCAAATCCAATGGACTCTGATAATGCCCATCTTCCCATTTTATTCCTAAAATCTGAATCTCCTGTATAGGCCCCTTGACTTTACCCTGTTTTATGGTGAAGCCGGCTCTCAAATGATTTTTAACTATTTTTTCTGCCTTCTCAAAAACTTCTTCTGCTGTATTCCCCTATATAATGATGCCATCTATGTACTGTAGGTGTTCCGGAGCTTCACCCTGTTCCAGTGCAGTCTGGATCAGTCCATGGCAAATGGTGGGGCTGTGTTTCCACCCCTGGGGAAGTCAGTTCCAGGTGTATTGGACACTCGTCCAGGTGAAATCAAACTGTGGCCTGCTCTCTGCTGCCAGAGGGATTGAAAAGAAGGTGTTGGCAATATCAGTTGTGGCGTACCACTTGGCTGCCTTTGACTCCAGTTCATACTGAAGCTCTATTATGTCTGGCACACCAGCACTTAGTGGTGGCATGACTTTGTTCTGGCCCCAATAGTCCACTGTCATTCTCCACTCTCCATTAGACTTCCGCACTGGCCCTATGGGGCTGTCAAAAGGTGAGCAAGTCTTGCTGATCACCCCTTGGCTCTCTAGCCAATGAATCAGTCGGTGAATGGGAACTACAGAGACTCGGTTGATGCAATATTGCCATCAGTGCACAGTTGTAATAACAATCGGCACCTGTTGCTCTTCAACCTTCAGCAGTCCCACAACAGAAGGATCCTCTGAGAGCCCTGGCAGAGTGGACAGCTGTTTGATTTCCTCCGCCTCCAAGGAAGCTATACTGAAAGCCCATCTGTACCCTTTTGGGTCTTTAAAATACCCTCTCCAGAGATAATCTATTCCAAGAATGCATGGAGTTTCCAGGCCAGTCACAACAGGGTGCTTTTTCCACTCATTCCTGGTTAGGCTCACCTCAGCCTCCAACACAGTCAGCTGTTGAGAACCTCCTGTCACTCCTGAGATACAGATAGCCTCTGTCCCTTGGAAATCTGACAACATCAGGGTGCACTGGGCACCAGTGTCCACCAAAGCCTTATACTCCTGGGGGTCGGATGTGCCAGGCCATCGAATCCACACAGTCCAGTAATCCACACAGTCCTGGCTGGAGGCAGGGCCCCTCTAATGCTGGTCATAGTATCCATTGTCAGTGAAAGGGTTAGTGTGGTCTGCATGGGTCTCAGTCTCATCTTGATTACTCACTTCCTGTAAGTACGACTCAGAAGGATCAGGAGCAAAGTCAACTCTTCTACACAGTTTGGGTAACTGATTAGTGGAGACTGGAGAGGCACTTCTCCAGGAAGAATCTTGATTTGTATCCATTCTTCCTTCCAACTCTCAAATCCGCTCTCTTAGAAGGTAGGTAGATTTCTCATCCCATTTTCTCATGTCTTCTCCATGGCCATGCAGGTAATACCATAGGTTCCCCTGTGGTGTGTATCGTCTATCTTGAGTAGGGAACCATTTTCTCCTGATAGTTGAGACCTTAGCTCATGCAGGTGGAGAACTAGACATGTCCTCTATGAGTTGTTGGACTTTTCAGGATAGTTTCTCCATAGCTGTGACGATGGAGGAAGAGAGACTTTCTTTGTATTGCTGGAGTCAGCAAGTCAATTCGTCCACAGTTGGGCCCTCTTCATCTCTCCAGTCCATTGCTCCTAATACACTGACATGTGACAGTGGCATGCTCCGTACAAACTTCCGCCACATGGGCTGGATGCATTGTACTTCATCTGGGTCTGTGGGTAGCTGCACATTGTCTGGGTCATAATAAACCATCTCCTGCACAGCCAGTTCCCTCAGGTATTGGATGCCTCTCTCCATGGTGGTCCACTTACTTGGATAACACATATCTTCCTTGAAGGGATATCTGTCCCTCACACCTGACAATAGTCTTCTCCAGAGGCTGAGAGTTTGTGTCCTTCTTCCAATGGTCTTGTCAATGCCTGCGTCCCTGGACAGGGATCCCAGTTGCCTGGCTTCTCTACCTTCCAATTCCACACTGTTGGCCCCGCTATCCCAGCATCATTGCAGCCAGGTAAGGAGGTGTTCACGTGGATGGCGACTGAAATCCTTTCGTATGTCTCGTAGTTCACTCAGGGATAGGGATTGGGTGATTACCACTGGCTCTGCCTCCTCCTCCTGTTCTCATGATGGCCCTGGTTCATCATCATCTTTTACAATACTAGGTGATTTTTTTTTGTGTATTTCTTCTTCTGTATGGGAGCAACTGACAACGTCGTGGATTGGTTCTCTGGTTCACCCACAGTATTTATCATAGGGGTCAGATTAGCTACAGTGCCTGTTGCCGGAATTGGAGTGGCTGCAGTGTCTGTTGCCCGAGTTGAAGGTGTCGGAGTGGTTGCAGTGGCTGTTGTTTTGTTCTCAGATGCAGAGACCTCTTCCTTTTGAGGATACTGCATAGTGGCAAGCAGGGTTCGGTAGGCATGGGCCAGGCCCCAGCACGTTGCAATGATCTGCGTCTCTCTTGAGGTGTCAGGATGACAGCACACCTTTTCTAAATATTTTATTAGTTTCTCAGGATTCTGCACTTGTTCAGGGGTGAAGTTCCAAAACATCAGAGGTCCCCACTGTCCTAGGTACTTGCCCATGCTACCCCACACTCCCAGCCACCCATAACTCTCCAAATTTGGGGTAGGCCTCTGGGTGGCATTCAGAAACATTTGCTTAACCCTAAACAAAACCTGAACCACATTCAGTAATACAACAGCTCCCAGCAGTGAGAAAGTGTTAATGCGAGCATTCCATGGATATTCAGAATTCTCAGCATTCTCAAGCATACTTGCAAATAACCTGGAGAAGGGAAAGATGGAAGAAGGTATCTCCCCCTTGGGTGGGCTCTCCGAGGAGAAAAGGTGGAGGGTGTAGTTAGTAACCCATTCCACTAGGTGCCCCCCAGTGTATACAGACGATGACCACGCTGAGTACAAATGTCCCACTACTCTCAGGATCGACAATTTTATCATGCCATAGATTATTGTTACATAATACAGCAAGGCAAAAATCTTAATCCAATTCCCGCAGGTAATAATCAGCGGCATGGACACTATATACGGTAAGTAATATGATGTGTAACACAATTGTAGCAATGAAACCCGTGATTCTAGGAGCCAAGTGAATGACATTATAACAGCATGGGCAGTTGGCATTATAACAAATTTGATAGGACACACAGATCAAATCTGTTGTTTTCTCACCCCTTCGTGCCCCATATTGGGCGCTAAAAAGGACTGCCGTGTTTTGAGCCTGGTCAGCAGCTAAACACCATGCAGCTGTTCACCCACCCTCCCCCCACTTGGGAATGGGGAAGGAATCAGAGGGGCAAAGGGAGACTCGTGGGTTGAGATAAAAACAGTTTAATAGCAGTAACGGAATAATACCATGGGAGCAATATCAAGGGGTAATGTACAGTACAGCTGCTCACCACCTGCCGACTGACACCCACCTGCTCCCGACTAGTGATCCCAAAACACAAAGATGCTACAGCAACAATCCCAGAAGTGAGAGCGCGCCTTCCCTCCCACTGCTTCCTTTATATAGTGATCATAACGTCACATAACATGGAGTAGCGGCCAGTCTGGGCCCAGCATTCCAGCTGCGCTTGCCCCCGCCCCCCGCATGCCCACACACAGGCAGGGCACGTGGAGCTGGACAGTCCCTCAAATCTCAGTGTACCATCAGCACTCCTACAGCCCGAACATGAACTCTATTCCTGCCCAAACCAGAGCAAGGGGAAGGATCACTTCCTTTGACCTCCTGGCAATATTTGTCTAATGCAGCCCAGGAGACCATTCACCTTCTTTCATGCAAGAGCACAATGCTGGTTCATGTTCAACTTGATGTCCATCAGGACCCGGAGGACCTTTTCTCCCAGATGCTTTCAAGCTGGGAGACCCAGCATATAGTGGTGCATAGGGTTGTTCCTCCCCTGGAGCAGGCCATGGCACTTCTTGTTGAACTTCAGGATGTTCCTGTGTCATGGGACACCTGGGAGTGGGGGAGGGAATTGGATGGGTAAAGGGAGACTCACAGGTTGAGATAGAAACAGTTTAATAATGGTAATAACATAAAACAATGACAGTAATAGAAAGTATAAAAGGGCAATGCACAAGGCAATTGCTCACCACCCGCTGGCCAATACCCAGCCCATTCCCAGCTAGCAATCCCTAAACACCAGGATCCTGCAATTGCAGTTCTGGAAACAAGAGAGAGGCCCTTCACTACCACACCTCCTCTATAGACTGAGCATGATGTTACATGATATAGAGTATTTAATTGGCCAGTGTGGGTCCAGTGTTTTGGTCATGCTCCCTCCTTGTTTCTTGTGCACTTGAGCACAGGCATGACATAAGGAGTTGGAGATTCCTTGAAATCTTAGCAGCAGCCTAAAGCATCTGTGTGCTATCAGCACTCTTCTCATACAAAACCCCATGCTGAATCAAAACACAGCACTATTCTAGTTGCCAAAAAGAAACTTTAACTCGATTCCAGCCCAAAGCAGGACATCCTGTCAGACCATTTCTCCAGCTTGTTGAGGCCCCTCTGTATTGCAACACACCCCACCTAGTGTAAAAGCCACTCCTCCCAGAGTGGTGTCATAAGCAAACCTGTTGAGGGTACACTCTGCCCCATCATTCAGACCATTCGTGAAGATTTTGAGCAGGATTGGACCCAGTGTTGATCCTTGGCAAGTTTCTGGTCTCCATCTAGATTTTTTGTTACTCATCACTGGGCCAAGGCGTTCAGCCGCTTTTCAATTAACCTCGCTGTCTGCTCATCCGGCCCAGATTTCAACAGCTACCCTATGACCATCTTATGGCAGACAGTGTTAAAAGCCTTGAAGAAGTCAAGGCAGACAATAACCACTGACTTCCCCTTGTCTGTGAAGATAATCATTAAATTGCAGGAGGTTTTCTTGATGTTCATGTGCCTGGCAATGGTTTCTAGAATTAGATGCTCCAATACCTTCCCATGGATCATGATGAGGCTGACTGATCTGAATCTCTGTGGGTCCTCCTTCTTGCCCTTCTTGAAGCTAGGACTGAAATTTGAGTTCCTCCTGTCTTTAGGCACTTCTCCCAGTCACCAGGAGTGATCAAAGATTATCAAGAGGAGCCTTGCAAAGACATCTGACAACTCCCTCAGCACTCATGGGTGTATCCCATCAGGGCCCATGGACTTATGTACATCCCGTTTGTTTGAATATTCCCTGACCAGATCCTCTTCCACCAAGGGTACCTCTTCCTTGTTCCAGCCTTTCACCCTGCTCTCTAGGACCTGGCATTCCTGAGGCTGGTCTTGCTGATAAAGGCTGAAGTGAAGAAGGCATTGAGGACCTCAGACTTTCTGATGTTCTGTGTCACAGGGTCCCCTGCCTCATCCAGCAGCAAGCCCACATTTTCCCCAACCATCCTTTTATCAGCCATGTACTTACAGAAGCCCTTCTGGTTGCCTTTGACATGCCTAGCCAGATTCAATTCTGCTTGGGCCTTGGTTTTCCCTACCCTGCCTCTGTATGCTTGGACAATGTCTCTCTATTCCTCTCAGGTTGCCTGTCCCTGCTTCCACCCTTTTTATACTTCCTCTCTGTGCTTGAGTTTGGCCAGGGTGCCCTTGCTCATCCCTGCAGACATTTTTGCCTGATTTCCTGTACATAAAGAAGCTGTTGTGGATTAGCTTTGGCATTGGAGGGATGTCCATGAGACAAGTGCCATCACAGTCAGTGGAGTTCTAGAACAGTGAACTGATGGAGAATAGAAGGAGAGAGACTGAGCTCTCGTATGGCACATGACTCCATTTGGTCAGCTGAAAGCTCCTCTAGGCTGCCATGAACATACTGAATAGGAACAGATTTTGTACAGGCCTGAACTGAGGCAGAGGAATCCCAACTCCAGAGGCTTTATGGCAGGCATGGAAGGAAGCTGAGTCCCCTTCTAGCACCAGGACTTCCAACCCAGAATGAGATGCCTTGATAGACTCAGCTGAACCAATTTGGATAAATTATGTCCCTCCCTGTAACCTTCTTGGTTTCCAACCTAATACTGGGAAAATAAAAGTTGATTCTCCTGCCCAAATCTGTCTCTGATAGGAGAAATGACACTGCTGGAAATAAACATTTCTCCCCAGCTGAGGGAGGGAACATCAGTGATTGCTTTAGTCTGCTTCAACGTAGGTTCCCCTGGAGTTTCAGGGTCACCTGGGGGGAGCTCAGAGGGGACATAGAAAGAGCCACCTTGAGCTGGTCCCCTGCTGCTGAGCTGGGCCGGGCTCCTGGGCTGGAGGGAGCTCCTGGCCACTGAGCAGTGCTTGTGAGAGACAGCTCTGCCCAGGAGCAGCTCCTCTGCAAAGCGCAGCAGGGCTGGGGGCACTGCCTGCAGGCACCCAGGGCAGAGCAGCGAGGCAGGGAAAGGTTCCAGGCAGCGTGGAGTGGGAGGGTGCTGAGAGCTCACTGCGGGAGATATCTTCACAGCCCTTGACTCGGTAAGTCTGTGGGTGCAGGGCAATGTACCTGAGAGTCCTGGAGGGTCTCTTAGACCTGGCCCATCCCAGAGCAGATAGGATCTGGCAGGATGGCTCTCAGGGTTTCTTTTGTGTGGAGAAGGACATGGTGCAGAGCAGGGCTTCCCTGCTGCACCTGCAGAGGGACAGGGCATCCCATCTCCCTTTTCCTGGGGCTGGATTCAGGGGTGTGCAGCCAGGTGTGCAGGCAGGGGTGCCCAGGGCTGTTCTTCCCAGCAGGGTCCCTGCACCCCAGGGGGCTATGTGCTGGGGCAGGGACTCTGCCGCCTGCCAGGGTCAGCTCTCAACCTGCCCGGGGAGCTCCCCACGGTGCTGTGGGGAGGAGGAGCGATCCTCATCAGGGCAGGGTCCTTCTGCTGTTGAGAGGGTGCTGTGTGGTTCAGGGCTGCTCACAGCTGCACATCACCCCCAGACATTTCCTAGGGGGCTTTTCAAGTGGAACATCAATGCAGGGATTACTGTGAATAGATTTGTGGTGTTGGGCTTTATTTCAGGAAACTAAAGCCAGAAATGTTGGGGGAGGGAGAATTCTGAAAACTCCATTTCGTCCCCTCCAATGCAGACCCCTTCCTCTGAGTAAGCCCTCTTGCCTCCTTTCCCACCTAACAAAGACTCTGCCATCAGGGCTGTGGGGTCCAAAGCATGAACCACCCCCTCTGCAGCCAGAGCTCCAGCTGAGCCATGGAGCAGCTCTCCAGCATCTTGCTCATTTCCCTCTGAACTGCACAGAGGCTGAGAGCAGCCACCCAGCAACGTTGATGTCATCCCTTCATGAGATACCATTATTAGGACACTTGGTTATCTCCTGGAGGTGTCCTTGCGATCTGTGAGCTGTCCTCCAGGATGCAAATCGGCTCCATAGCACCTCTGTGTTATCTGAAAGACCCATGGAGAAGCACAGTGATGCTATGACTGAAGAAATGCTGTTGGGCCTGTTAAATGACCCACATGTGTCATAGAATCACAGAATGGTTTGGGTTGGAAGGGACCTTAAACATCAGCTCATTCCAACTCCCTTGCCATGGGAAGGGACACCTTCCACTAGACCAGGTCGCTCAAAGCCACGTCCAACCTGGCCTTGAACCCTTACAGGGATGTGGCAGTCACAGCTTCTCTGGGTAACCTGTTCCAGTGCCTCACCACCCTCACAGGAAACGTTTTTTCTTTCTATCTAAGCTAAATCCACCCTCTTTCTGTTTAAAACCAATACTCTAGTCCTATACCTACACCTCCTGATAAAGAGTCCCTCCCCATCTTTCCTGTAGGCCCCCTTTAAGTACTGGAAGGCCACTAGAATGTCTCTCCAGAGCCTTCTCCAGGCTGAGAAACCCCAACTCCCTGGTTCCCTGTCCTTGGCTAGAATTGGGGTGCTGAGAGCTTGAAAAGCGATGAGACATTTAATGGTTTGCAGTGGATCCCTCTGCTCTCATCAGTGTCTCATGGGTTTTCAGGGTGCCATAAAATATCTGAGATCGCCCCTCCATCTCAGGTCTGGCGCCTGCCTCTACCATTCCCGTGAACCTACAATTGCAAAGTAGGGTTGACTCTTGAGAAGCCAGCCAGAAGAGGCTCTGCTCCTCATGGCACACTCAGGCAGCACCAACCAGAGCTCCAGCCATGGAGCTGAAGGAAGGTCTCCTGGAAAATGAAAAAGGGGTGAGTACAGGCGGGAGGAGGATCCATGAGAAATTCCTTTGATTTTGCTCAGAAAAGTCTCCTCTAACTTCTCACTCTCTTTTCCTCCCTGGACAGGTCCCCTTGCTCTGAGGCAGCAGATGTCCAACAGCAGCTCCATCACCCAGTTCCTCCTCCTGGCATTTGCAGACACACGGGAGCTGCAGCTCCTGCACTTCTGGCTCTTCCTGGGCATCTACCTGGCTGCCCTCCTGGGCAACGGCCTCATCATCACAGCCATCGCCTGCGACCACCACCTCCACACCCCCATGTACTTCTTCCTCCTCAACCTCTCCCTCATCGACCTAGGCTCCATCTCCACCACTGTCCCCAAATCCATGACCAACTCACTCTGGGACACCAGGGTCATCTCCTTTTCAGGCTGTTCTGCCCAGGTCTTTTGGTTTCTCTTCTTTGTTTCTTCAGAATGTTACCTTCTCACTGTCATGGCCTATGACCGCTATGTTGCCATCTGCCAACCCCTGCGCTATGTGACCCTCATCGACAGCCGAGCTTGCATCAAAATGGCAGCAGCTGCCTGGGGTGGTGGTTTTCTCAATGCGGTGCTGCACACTGGAAACACATTTTCAATTCCATTCTGCCAAGGGAATGCCATGGACCAATTCTTTTGTGAAGTTCCTCAGCTCCTCAAGCTATCCTGCTCAGATTCCTATATCAGGAAAGCTGCGTTTACTGTTGTTAGTCTTTGTGTAGCTTGTGGGTGTTTTCTGTTCCTTGTCCTGTCCTATGTGCAGATCTTCAGGGCCGTGCTGAGGATCCCCTCTGAGCAGGGACGGCACAAAGCCTTTTCCACGTGCCTCCCTCACCTGGTCGTGGTCTCCCTGTTCATCAGCTCTGGCATGGCTGCCTCCTTGAAGCCCTACTCCATCTCATCCCCAGCTCTCGATCTGGAGGTGGCTGTTCTGTATGCAGTGGTGCCCCCGGCATTGAACCCCCTCATCTACAGCATGAGGAACCGGGATCTCAAAGACACACTAAAGGAGCTGATTCAATCACTTGTTTTCAAGCAGCAATAAGCTGCCCATGGCTTTTCACAAGGATTTCTTGATCATCTCAAGAACAGCTCCTCCTCTGCTTTAGGCATTTGACTTGTGATAATAATAGTTGTTCAGGCATGTATACATCCACTCCAGCTCTCCAGAGACATAAACCCAGTCTGTCTGACCAAGAGGCCTTGGTACATGTCTCTGGCATGATGGTACATCTGGTCTCCTGTGTCACTTGTCTGTAATAAAAGGGGATTTCCACAGTGCTGGTGTCTGGTGGTTAGGCTCTTCTTCCAAAGCTGAGGTCAAGAACAGGATGAAGAAGTTGCCCTGATGAGGCCATGCTGCTGTTCTTGGGTTCTTCATGGGCTCAGGGGAGGAGGGCATAGGGCAATGTGTTGGGCAAGGAGGTCTGGGTTGGGTGCCCAATTCCCGTGGACATGGTGAATGATCAGAAGGGATCTACCTGGGACTGTGTCCCCGTGGATTTCAGGTACCACAGCCTGCTTGTTCAGCAGAGCACCACCATCAGCTCAGGTCTCTGTGGGAAGCACAACGAGAGGACAGGAGTGGCCAGCCAGGTCAGCACAGGCACACTCCCATGGGGAAAGGTGCTCTGGGAGAGGAACATTCCTGGAGAAGAGCGGAGGAGGAACTCTGCTTCCAGGGCACAATAAATGACCAAGAGAAACATATTTCTGCATGCACTAGCTCAGGGAAGGCTGCTCTGTTGCTGGACAAGAGAGAAGAGCTGGGAAGTGTCTGGTTTGAGGTGGAAAGTGCCTGGGCGAGGACAACCCCAAAGGTAGCTGAGCTGTGTGACTGTGAAAGGTGAGGACTCACACCAGGGGGTTTGTGGTGCACACCCAGGTCTCATGGATTGGAGGAGAGACATGCAGACAACTGAGAGAGGAGGCTGATCTGGAACAGTATTTGCGGCTCAGTTGGCCATCCAAGGGACAGGGTGATGTTGGGATCATGAAGCACACTCCAAAAGGTGACAGCAAAGACAACCACAAAGAAGGAATTTGTGTGCATTGCCTTCATTGTGCAGGTGTGATTTGGGGAAAAGCAAAGCTCACCTGAAGTTGGTTGCAAGGAAAGTCAAGAGCAAAATGAAGTTTCAGTCGCTCATTAGGGAGAAAGGCTGAACAAGGAAAATGCAGGGCTGCTGCTGAATGGGGAGGATGATTTAGTAACAGCAGACACAGATGGGGCTGAGAGACTCAGCTTGTCTTTAGTGACAAGGTCTCCAGGACTCTGTGCTCAGGGAGAGGGCTCAAGGGGGAGGAGAGGATGGATTGTCAGGACCTTCATGAAAACCCACAAGGAGAAGTGCCAGTTTCTGCCCCTGCAGGAGACTAACTCTGTCAATGGCTCAGCCTGGGGCTGCCTGACTGGGGAGCATCCCTGTGGAGAAGGTCTTGGTGCTCAGTGATCTGGACAGGAGGCAGCCATGTGCCCTGAAGCAAGAGAGGCCAACAGCATCCTGGGCTGTATGAGCAGAAGCATGGCCAGGAGACTGAGGGAAGGGATTATCCAGAAGAGTGCATCCATATTTCAGATCCCCAGTATAGGAAAGATGGCATCCAAGTGGAACAGGTTCAGGGAAGTGCTCCCAAGATAGTCAGGGGCTGGAGCACTTGGCCTGTGAGCAGAGGCCAAGGGGCCAAGGGGCCAAGAGCAAACGCTGAGGCCAATCTCATCACAGCCTGCCTTACCTATGAGGAGGTCGTGGAGAATAAAGAGCCAGGCTCTCCACCATGGTCCATGCTGGGAGGACAAAAACAACGGGTGGAGAGTGAAAGAGGAGAGGTTCAGCCTAAAAACTTTTTCTCCATCAGTTCAATCAAGAGCTGGAGCAGGTCATCCAGATAGGCTGTGAAGTCTCTGTCCTGGGAGGTTATCAAAATCCAGATGGTGCAAGCTCAAGTTGAAACACTTGAGTGCTTTTAAGAAAATAACAGTTTTCACACCATGCCAGAATGTGGGAATTTCCAGTAAGTGCATTGCTCCTAGGAGAAGAAATACTGATCTCCCTCTGGACTTGCATTACCACTACTCTAGTACGCTGTGTGTTTAATCTCCCTCCCCTTTCAGGTGTTCCCACCTCTCCTGATTAAGTGACCATGTCTAAGGGCATCCTGTCATCAGACTATCTACACATAAGCCCTTCTCTTGGCTCTCCAGATTTCTCTCTCCCCTTGTTCTTTCTTCATTCAGATACCACCTAAGTAGCTGGTTGCTGCTTTGAGCTTCAGGGAGTTAGAAACTTGCCCCATCTCTGAGAATTCTAATTAACTCTTGAGTCAGATCCTTCATTATGTCTATATTTACCCTTTCCGAGATCTCTGTCTAAAGCAGTTCATGTATGGACATCCCTTGTGGAAGATAGACCTTGTTAGATGCAGCTTGAACTTGGCATACAGTTGAGGAGAATGTTTTAAAGCTTACTGGATTGCATCATGTGTAACTTTTCTTTATGGTAATGAGAAGTCCTCCTGTGCCTGTGTGCAAGCAGTTCTCTGAGGAAAGCAGGTGGGAATTGGTGACAAGGAGCTGACACTGCCAGCTGCAAACTTCAGTGGAGGACTCTGATGTAAGGAAAAGTGATGCAAGGCTCAGGGGGCTGATCAGAGAAATGGTGGGGCTGGGGAGATGAGGAGCAAGGTTGTCTGTGGAGTTCATGGACTCAAGGGACTGCTTTTCCTACCTGCCCACATCTGCTTAGGTGACCCTCTGCATCACTATCGTTTGGAGAGTGCTACTATCACTTCTGCAAACAACAGTGAAAAATACAATGTTACCTTAAAAAGATCTTCCTCTTTAACTGCTGTCCTGAAACCTCTCCAATTAGCTGTATAAGTCTTGAAGACTTGAAGAAAATTATGGGCAGAGACAAGGCACCTGAGGGCTCTCTGCCTTGTAATGAGCCCCTTGGTGGTTTTGGTGCTGAGTCTGTGGACTTGCAATGCTGAGAGAAGCTTGCACAAACTGCTCAAGGAGTCTGAGTCAGAAGGAAATGTGGAAGTTTCTTGGAGTATTAATGATCCCCGCTGAGGGTCATTACCAACAGAGACTCCCCATGGACTCATTAAAGCAGAGTATTGCAGGCAGTGATGCCAGGCAGGCAAAGGCAACGTGCTGGTGGCTCTGATGCAGTGTAAAGCCTTGGTGTGTTTTATCAAGCCAAATGCCAAGCCTTGACCCCAGCCCCTCAGAAGAGAGATCCTGTCCATCCCACGAGGCTCAGGGCTCTTCCTGGGTTGTGTGGGGGAGTAGTGCCATGTGAAGGACACCTTCTGTGCAAGGAGGTAGGGTGGCCTCAGTGCCATGAGGACAAGGTGTCTCCTCGTAGGCTGTGGTGGCAGGGACATCAGCCACAGCCAAGGGCACAAAGACCTCTGTTCTGTCAGGGCCTTTCAGCCTTGCCAGCACCCTTGGCCACCTCCACCAGGGGCTGTCCTCCACTGTCCCATGCCTGCGCCTCTTTCCCTGCAAGCTGTAGACATCCAACAGACTTCCCCACCTTGTTGTCACTCTGGCATGTCCCTACCCTTACTGACATCTCTCCATCCTCACTGGCTGTTCCTTCAAGCACAAAATCATGGGCTAACCCAGACTCCCTCTGAGTGACCTGTTGTGCCAAAGCACTCCCTTTCAACTGACATTTCTTCCCCCTCATGTCCATCTGGACATCCAAAACTGCAGTTTCTTGTAGTTTTCCTTTCTCATGCTCCTTTCCACTAACAAAAACCATGCAATCATCTCTGAAAGTAACCATCAAGCTTTCTCAAGCTACCACTATCCTTTTCCAAGCCTCCACTTCACCAGACCAATGAAGCCCCCACCTCTCAGCCTTTCCAAACATGGCCCCTTACCCCATCTTGGCAGACCTCCTATGGGCCCTCTCCACCTCCTCCCCACTCCTCCAGAGCAGGGATCCCCACATGAGGACACATTATTCCAGATGTGGACACATCAGTGATGAGTCGTTGTGGGGTGTGTGTGATAACTCATCTCATCTGGGTGCCCACCCTCCTTCCACTACAGCCCAATATGCTCATGGCCACAGCCCTCATAATGCCAAGGCCCTTCTCCTTGAGGTTGCTCCTCATCCAGCTCAGGTCCAGTCCTGCCTTGATGTACGGGGTTGTTTTGCCCCTCAGTGCAGGAGATCAGAAGGAGAAGATCCCTTCTCCTTGGAAAACTTCTTGAGGTTTCTGTTGGTCAAATCTCTGAGTTTCTCAAGGTCTGCTTGGACTGATGCTCCATTGTGTCAGCTGTCAGTGTGTCTGCGCAGATGGCTTACCTGACTTGTGGCATCTCCGAGAAGATCACAGAATGAGGAACTTAAAGAAGGACACAACAGATAATAAAGTAAAAGAAGAGATAGTAGTTAATATAAATTGCAAGCCAAAGTAGGCATTACTGTGGTGACAATTCCAGAAACACCAAATGAGGGCACAAGACAATTGTGGACATACTGGAGAGAGTCCAGCAAAGACCCACAAAGATGATTAAGGGACTGGAGTATCTCTTCAATCAGAAGTGGCTGCGAGTCCTGGGACTGTCCAGCCTGGGGAAGAGAAGGCTCAGGGGGCATCTTATCAATGTATATAAATACCTGAAGATGTGGGAATGAAGAATTGGTGGTTAGCAAAATTGTAAACTGACCCTCAGACTAGAAGGATGGTTGTGAGTAAATGAAGCAAGAGTGTGGAACACCCTGTTGCGAGTGTGATGAGCGAGTGGTCAGTAAACAGACTAGATCTGAAGGTCAGTAGGATGGGAAGAACAGAAATGAAAGATATAAACAATCGTTAATAATTTGGGGGGCTTGCATGCAGGATGGCAGTGTTTGCTCTTGGAAATGCTGCCCCTTCACAAACTGAAGTGAGTTTGTCATGATTTGGCGCGGCGCCCCAATCCCAGCTGGACCGAGACCAGTACCCCACCATTTGGATTCTGTTCTTTACATAACCACTCCCGTCCATAAACCAAGTATAATCAGCATCTCCCAGGGGGTG